ACCAGAGGCCACAACATCTTGGTCTTCATATATTCAATCTATCTTCAAAATTCAAAATCATACACACGTATTGATAACTAGATTACCCAGCTGTTATTTGATCTTCATTTTGTGAACCCTAAGTGGTTTTCCACAAAATAAAAACAAAGAATTAGTCAAGTGGGTTGCGAATAACTCCTTAATAAGTACATATTCTCATACTCTTCATTTCGATTTGAAAACTGGGTAAAAGACTCGCAAATTGGTTTTATTGAAAATTGAGCGAGAGTGGTCTTTGAGTTGAGACCATAGAGGTTCAAAGAGGCCCCTGATGCTAAGTCCATCGACCCAGATGATTCCGTGCTGAGCTTTGGTCACTCTTTTGGTAGACATCGTCAGGTCTTGAGAAAATTCTTATTGTTCGATGAACTTACGTGAAATCCGGTCTCACGCTCTGGCGATGTCTATCAAATAAGAGACGAAAGCCAGGCACGAACTCATCGGAGTCGAAGGACGGTGCTTCGGCACTTTTCTAAACAAAATAAATGGCATGAAAATATGCTTTTATGAAAGGATTATTTGAAAGCTAAATTCCCGTTATACAGACTAAGTGCATACGGTTACCAATCAATTAGAAATTCATCAATTTACTCTAAGACAGAGAGAATATTGACCAAGCAAGTTAAATATATTAAATTTTTATGTTAAATCATTCATAATTTTTTTACGAATGACAGGTCGAATTTGTTTGATGGAACGAAGAGTCCTTTAATATGCATTTAATTAAATTTAAATCAGTTAAAACTTTATCAAGTTATTTTTCGTCTATATGTAGGCTTTCGAGACTACCACTAGCTTTAATATATGAGATGTATTCATCCTATTTCGTTTAGGATGGCTAATTTCGCGATATTATACAATGTGCAGTGCCATGGTTCGAGTTCTGCTAGGGGTGTTGATAAGACCGAGGCAAGATCAAGACTGCACTCCAGCCTGGACGAGAATAGATTTTGGGAAAGGAAGGCTATGTGAAATTCAATAAAACGTCATGACATGTCGTTGTGGGAAAATTCAAATACCAGTCGCCATGTCACCCTAAACGAAATAGGATGAATATATCTCATATATTATTAAATTACTCCTTTTAGTAAGAACGAAAATCAGATTATGCAAGAGTTGTTTAACAATATATGTGTAGCTGAATTTGCCCCAATGATGGGAGTTGTCCGTACGTTTCCATTGAAATTTACACAGTCTTGCTTCCCAAGAGTTATTTTCATTCAGTCTAGGCTGCGGTTTTGACCTCTCCGGAACTTGAACCATGGCAGTGAAGAGTATAATCTCGACATGTTAAACGTCACGTCACATTACCACGAGTGCCCTTGAGTCACAGTTCCGATGCGAATTTCAAGCTAGGCCAGGCATTTTCCCACATCACCCACAATATTATGGGAAAATTCAACAACCAGTCCCCCTAGCACCTTAAACAAAATAAGGTGAATAAGCAATTAAATGATGTACTGGTATTCTCGAAAACCTACTAATGAACTAAAAATTGTCTAACACTGTAGAAAAACTGGCTTTGAAAGGATCCTTAAATAGATTTATGTTGGGCTACCTTTAATTTCGTCTGAAGAGGAGAGTGTAAGCGTTTCGCAAATTGGTCCCACCGAAAGTTGAAGGGGTTGCCTTGGAGCTGTGAATATAGATTTTTGCGAATAAGTCGTCGGTTCACTGTCCCGTGACCCCGATGAATCCTTGCTGAGATTTTGTCAGTTTTATGACGGGCATCGTCAGAGAAGGATAACATGCTTAACTATACTTCACCAAGACACCCTTTCTTGTCTTTGCGCCTGATGAATTATCGCAAAGCATGTTCTCCTGCTCCAACGATGTCCGTCACATGACGGACAGAAGCTCAAAAAGGCTTTAGCAAAGTCGCGGGACGGTGAGCAAGGTCTTATTCACAAAAATTGAGTCACATCTCCAAGGATACCCCCTTTCGATTTACAGTGAGACTAATTTACAAATACATCCACTTGGTTCTTCAAACTAAATAAAATGTACTCCAACTTCATTTATACTATATTTCATTCAGCTTTGCTTCCAAAAAGCTATTCTCATTCAGTGTACTAGACTGCAGTTTATGACTCGTCCAAGTCTCGCTAACACCCCTATTAGCCAACTCATATGATTGTGGGAAAATTCAAATATCAGTCCTTAATTGCCTTAAGCGACCTAGGATGGAAAGAACTCTTACTCAGCCCCTTTAGTCCCGATAAAAATGAACTTTGCTTCGGAATTTTCGATTAGGAAAAACCCTGAAACTTTAATTTCAAACGATAGAGACATCGAAATATGCTGGTAAGGTTGGATACCAACATTAAGGCTCTATTTAGATGGCAGTTACCAGAGGTCATCGTATCTTTTAAGAGCTTCCACAGTAAAATAAAATAACACTTCTCTGAGAAAAGGGAGTTGTAGTCCCGATTTGACTGTAGCCACAGCTTTGCTAAGCCTCGCTGACTCCCCAAATATGTTATAAGCCGAAAATTGGTTCCAAGCTGCAACAGCCGATTGCAACTCACCCAATTTGCTTTATTAATATCAATCTCCATTTCGATGCAACTGTTTGGGATCTTTCTTTTTGAAACTAACTACGGCAGATTGATGAGGTAACAACCACTTATAGCTTATCTCACTATACCTGACTTTGAGCTCAGTTTTGATGGGGGATACCATTAGAATGAATGCATCACATACATATTATCTACTGGTAATCTCGAAAGCCTACTTATAAATGAAAGAAAATTAATGTAGTCGATGCTATAGCAAATAGAGCTTTGCTTTATCGACCCTCCCACCACAGAATGTGATACGGGAAAAGGCCTGGTCTTCTTTGAAATGCACATCTGGTCTGTGACCCAAGGGCACTCGTGGCAATGTAGCGTAGTGGTTAACCTGTCAAGATTATATATTGCATTTCTTCAGCCCGGGTTCAAGTCCTGCTGGCCATACTGATGAGAACCAGGCGAGGTCAAAACTGCAGTCCACCCTGGACAGGAATTCCTTTTGGGAAGCAAGGCTATGTGAAATTCAATGAAAACATGAGACCTACTTATTTGAATATGGGAAAATTCAAATACCAATCCTTCATCACCTTAACGAAGTAGAGTAAATACATTTCATATGCAATCCTATATATAAAGCATAATCGTAATGTAGAATGAAGGATAGTTTGATCATATCAAATAAAGTTAGAGCTATTGAAAAAGACTCACTTCACCGAAATATCTATTTGAAATATCAGCGAGAATTTCGTTAAAGAAATGCTTGTCATCGTTGTCAATTAGTCGGTCATGAAAGACTCGCTGAGCCTCGTGAAAGAAAAGGTGATTCAAGCTGCGTTTCTCGCGGATACTAGCGGAGTCAGCCTGCAGCAGGCCTAAAAGAAAAGATTATGAAGAATATGAACTGTGCTGGATTTGAGTGGCTGAGCGAAATTGGAAACC